CCAACCATCTCATCCTCTGTCGTCCCCTTCTTCTCCTGCCTTCAGTCTTTCCAGCATCAGGGGCTTTTCCAATGAATCAGTTCTTCACATCAGGTGGCCAAAGTACTGGCGCTTCAGATTCAGCATCAGTTCTTCCAATGAATACTCAGGACTGATTTCCTCCAGGATTGTCTAGTTTGATCTCCTTGTAGTCCAAGGGATTCTCAAGATTCTTCTCCAACACCATAGTTCAAAATCATCAACTCTTTGGTGCTCAGCTTTCTTTATTGTCCAACTCTCACATCCATACATGACTACTGGAAAAACCATAGCTTTGGCTAGACGGACCTTTGCTGGCAAAGTGATGTCTCTTCTTTTTAATATGCTGTCTAAGTTGATCACAGCTTTTCTCCCAAGGAGCAAGCATCTTTTAATTTCATGGCTGCAGTCACCATCTGCACTGATTTTGGAGCCCAAGAATATAAAGTCTATCACTGTTTCCATTTTTTCCCCATCTATTTGCCATGAAGTAATGGAACTCAATGCCATGATCTAATTTTTTTGAATTTTGAGTTTTAAGGCAGCTTTTTCATTCTCCTCTTTCACTGTCATCAAGAGGCTCTTTAGTTCTTCTTCACTTTCTGCCGTAAGTGTAGTGTCATCTGCATATCTGAGGTTATTGATATTTCTCCCAGCAATCTTGATTCCAGCTTGTGCTTCATCCAATCCAATGTTTCACATGATGTACTCTGCATAAAAGTTAAGTAAGCCTTACTTATAAGGCAACATTTGAGCAAAAATTTAAAGGAAGTAAGAGAGATATCCGTGAATATAACAAGCAGTCCAATGATGCTGGGGTAGAATAAATAAAGGAGAGAGTGGCAGAAGATGAAGTAAGAGAAGGGCATGGAAAGAACGGATTATGTAGAACCTTGGAGAACACCATCCTTATGAATCTTTATATTCTGCCTGAGATGGGAAGCTGTTGGAGGATTTGGGGTAGATGATGTTTAAAGTGATCACTCTAGTTGCTGTTGAGAACAGATTTTAATGGAACAAGCCCGAAAACTGGGAAACCAGACAGGAGGATATTGTAAGAATCCAAGTTGGTTCTGACGGGCTTGGACCAGGGTAGCAGGTAAGAGATAAGACAAAGTCTTTGGATATATTTTGAAGAGAGAGTTGATAGGATCTCCTAACAGATAGGATATTGGATATAAGAATAAGAGAGGAGTTAAAAATTATTTCCAAGATTTTGTCACAAGCAGCAGAAAGGAAGGAGTTGCCATATACTAAAACAGGAAAGACTGGCAGGAAAAGCAGATTAGGGTAAGGACAACAGGAGTTTACTCTTGGACACATTAGGCTATTTTGATAACCAGGTGTATATGTTGAATAGACCACTGAATGTATCACTCAAGTTCAAAAGCAAGGTACAGTCTAGACATAAAACATGGGTATATCAGCATGTAAATTTCTTTTAAAGTTATGAAACTAGACAAAATTACCACAAGGAAGAGAGATTGGATAGGGAATATGTATACAAATACAGAGTCTTGGGGGTATACAGAGATTTAGAACTATGGGTGATGAGAAATCAAAAGGATGAGAAGGAGCAAAAATGAGGTGGGAGGACAAGAGAAAGAAGAAAGAGGAAGGCATGGGAGAGGAGGAGGAGGAGAAGATGCATCCTGGAAGCCAAATGGAGAAAGTATTTTTAGGGAAGAAATGATCACCTGGGTCAAATGCTGCAGAATAAATAAGACGAGAGAAGAATGACAACTGAATTCAGCAACCTGGACGTTGAGAAGAACGGTTAGTGGAGTGGCAGGGGAGAAAGAAAATGGTAAGAAAAAAAATTGGAGACAGCATGTAAAGACCACATTTTGGATAAGTTTTGCACAAAAGGGTGAAGAGATATGAGGACAAGACCTGAATAACTATTAAGTACTAGAAATTAGGTCAAAAGAAGTTTTGTTTTTTTTTTTTAAATTATGGGAAAAGTATCAGCTGGTGGCAGTGATCCAAGAAAGGGGAAAAATAATCCAGGAGAAAGAAAAGATGCTGCTGGATGATGTCTTTGAATAAGCAAGAGATGAGACCTGTTGCAGAAGACCAGAACTAGCCAAATTGCCAATATCCATTGGATCATAGAAAAAGCAAGAGAATTCCAGAAAAACATCTTCTGCTTCATTGACTACGTTAAAGCCTGTGACTGTGTGGATCACAACAAACTGGGGAAAATTCTTAAAGAGATCAGAATACCAGACCACCTTACCTGTCTCCTGAGAAACCTGTATGCAGGCCAAGAAGCAACAGTTAGAACTAGACATGGAACAACAGACTGGTTCCAAATTGGGAAAGGTGTACATCAAGGCTATATATTGTCACATTGCTTATTTAACTTATATGCAGAGTACATCATGCGAAATGCTGGGCTCGATGAAGCACAAGCTGGAATCAAGATTGCCAGGAGAAATATCAATAATCTCAAGATATGCAGATGACACCATCCTTATGGCAGAAAGCAAAGAGGAATTAAAGAGCCTCTTGATAAAGGTGAAAGAAGAAAGTGAAAAAGCTGGCTTAAAACTCAGCTTCAAAATCTAAGATCATGGCATAACTGGTTCCATCACTTCATGACAAATAGATGGGGAAACAATGGAAACAGTGGGCTTTATTTTCTTGGGCTCCAAAATCACTGTGAACTGTGACTGCAGCCATAAAATTAAAAGATGCTTACTCCTTGGAAGAAACACTATGACCAACTTAGACAGCATAGTAAAAAGAAAAGACATCACTTTGCCAGCAAAGGTCCATCTAGTCAAAGCTATGGTTTTTCCAGTAGTTATGTATGGATGTGAGAGTTGGATGATAAAGAAAGCTGAGCACCAAAGAATTGATGCATTTGAACTGCAGTGTTGGAGAAGACTTGAGAGGCCCTTGGACTGCAAGGAGATCCAACCAGTCTATCCTAAAGGAGATCAGTCCTGGGTGTTCATTGGAAGGCCTGATGTTGAAGCTGAAACTCCAATACTTTGGCCACCTGATGCGAGGAGCTGACTCCTTGGAAAAGACCCTGAGGCTGGGGAAGATTGAAGGCAGGAGGAGAAGTGGATGACTGAGGATGAGATGGTTTGATGGCATCACCAACTCAATGGAAATGAGTTTGAGCAAACTCTGGGAGATGGTGAAGGACAGGGCAGCCTGGCATACTGTAGCCTATGGGGTTGCAAAGTGTCAGACATGACTGAGCAACTGCACAACAACAAGAAAGAGTGTACGAGTTCATGGTAATAGGATAGAAAGCCTATAGTAGTAGATGGGTAGATATGATGGTTGGAGCTGAGAATTTTTTTTTTTTTTTGGCTGCTCCAGGTCTTAGTTGCTGCATGTGGGATCCAGTTCCCTGATCAGGGATCAAACCTTGGCCCCTTGCATTTCGAATGTGGAGTTTTAACCACTGGACCACTACGGAAGTCCCTAGAATGTTCTTTTTCTTTTTTTTTTCAGTGAAAGAGGAAACTGACTATGATGAGGGGAAGAAGTGCTCAAGATTTGAGGACAGAAGTTATAAAGTAGTCTTAAAAAATACCCTACTATAAAATTAAATAAAGAAGTATACCTGAAACTAATACAACACTGTAAATCAACTATACTTCAATATGAGGCTTCCTAGGTGGCACAATGGTAAAGAATCTGCCTGCCAATGCAGAAGACACTGGGTCAGGAAGATCCTCTGGAGAAGGGAATGGCAACCCACTCCAGTATTCTTGCCTGGAGAATTCCAAGGACCAAGGAGCCTGGCAGGCTACAGTCCATGGGGTCACAAAGAGTTGGACACGCCTGAGCGACTGAACAACAACAATCAAGGACTTGTTCTCTGTCAAGCATTTTCATGTGTTTTACATACTTTTTTTTTTTTCTTTTTTAATGTGCAGTTTGTGGGATCTCACTTCCCCAACCAGGGACTGAACCTGGGACAAGGTCGTGAAAGCGTGGAATCATAACTATTAGACCACCAGGGAGCTCGCTACATACACTATCTTATTTATAAGGCATTCTCATCCCATTTTACTGATGAGGAAGTTGAGCTTTAGAGAAATTAAGAATCTTGTTCAAGAGCAGGCATTCCAATGCAGTATTCAAATTCAAGGCTCCCTACTCATAACAACTATCCTTTTCCAAAACATACCTTCTGTTAATTTTTCTAGTGTACAAACTTATTGCTTTCTTTCAGGGTTTCTTGGAGCAGATTATAAGGGTCTTCTTGATACTTTTTAGGTCATAAGAAACAAGAGAATTGCTATTGCCAGTTATAAGAGAAAAGTCTTTTAAAAATATATTTTAAAATGTATGCAATCAACCCTCAATATCCATGGGTTCTCTATCCCCGGATTCAACGTCTATGGAACAAGTTCAGAAAAAGAATTTTTATGAGGTTTCAAAAAGCAAAATCTGAATTTGCTAGTACCAGCAAATTATATGTAAATACACAGAATTTACATATTAGTTATACTAGTATGAGCAATCTACAGGTCATTTAAAGTATAGAGGAGGAAGTGTGTAAATTATATCCAAATACTACTCCTTTTTATAAGGTACGTCAGTTTTTTGGGGTTTGGATATGATGGACTCTGAAATCATTGCCCCTGGGGACACAGGGGGCCACCATATTCTGTTTCCCAACTCCACAGAGCTGGTCCGTGGGCGTGCCTTTGACCGGCAAAGGGAACGTGCTATTGAATCCTGGGGCGTAGGTTTTGTGGGAGACTTGGTCACAGACGTGTGGGTAGGCGTTGAGTGAGTGATTGGTCTCCACGGCGGCGTGAAGGAGGTGGAAGCAGAACGGTTGGGTCCTCACCGGATGGAGTGGTGGGTGGCCCAGGTGGGGGTGGTGAGGCCCGTCCTGGGGGCGGGGTCTACGGTGGGCTAGTGCGCGTCGCCGCGCCCGGCATTTCAAACCTCGCGGCTAGACCGCCGAGAGTCTGCTCCACGAGCCGGTTGCTCAGCTGATTCCCGGCGCGGGTCGAATCCACCTCTCGCGGGATCCAGGCCCAGCTCGACGGCAACTCTCTCCTCGACGCTTCGCCGTCGCCATGGTTCACTTCTTGCACCCGGGCCTTTCGCCCCGGACCATCGTCCCCCCGGACGCTCGGAAGGATATGCTAGGCTGCCTCGTGGTGCAGGTGAGTTCCGAGGAGGGCAAGGGACGGGGGCAGGAAATGGAACGTGAACCTCGGCTGGACGTCCGGCCCCGGGAGAGCACGGCAAGTCGTCGGGGACCGTGCGGAGACATTTTTGGCTCGTTTGACCGACGCGGGGGGTAGAGTCTGAAGAGGCTGAGTCCCTGTTAGGCTTCTGTCTTCTGATGCTGGGAAGTGCTTGTCGGAGAGGAGTTTTCCGCCCGGGGCGTCCCAGCCTCCGGGCCGAGCGTCCCGACCCTGCGCAGCGGAGGAGTGGCGGGGTATGTCCCGCCTCACGCTTGACCTTGGGCGGGTCCTCTCCTCTGGGCCCCTTGGTTTTCCTGTGCTAGTGAGTGCGTGCGTGCTAACTCGCTTCAGTCGTTTCCGACTCTTTGCGACCCTATGGACTGTAGCCCACCAGGCTTCTCTGTCCATGGGATTCTCCAGTAAGAATACTGGAGTGGACTACTCCAGGGGTATCTTCCCTACCCAGGGATCGAACGCGTGTCTCCTGCCTCCTGCATTGGCAGGCGGATTGACTAGCGCCACCTGGGAAGACTATGTGCAAGCGCGGGCGACAGCTATTTTGCAAGGTGGTGTTAAGTTTAGACGTGCCTTATGCTTGGCCCGTGGCGTTTATTGTCATCCTGCGCCCAAATACCTTAAAACTTCGGCTGTTCCCAAACGTATGTTGGGGACTTGTTGCTCCCAAGAGTATGCGACCTGTCGGTCCTAGGATTGTTAACAGAAAAAGCCCGCCTGGAAGAGTTGGAACCCCAAAGAGTGAAGTTCCTAAAATTCCATGTGTTCTTTTCGGCCCCGCGCCCCGGTTCCCTCGGAATGCCTTTCAAACGAAATTGAGCAACATGCAAACCAAAAGAGTGTGTATTTGGAGCCTACTGTGTGTCAGTTGTCGTATTTCTAAAATCTCTTGGATTTTTTTGTAGGCATTGATGGTCTCTGTTTTACTAGTGAGTAGGAAAATTGAGAACCCTTGACTTGCTCAAGATCTTGAACCTGACATAATTTCTGATGTGACTCCGTATTCTATAAAACCCCAAGGGCCACCCTTCTTAGAACTCAAAATCTAGTGAACGCTCAACCCACAGTTAGTATGGAGGAAAGGAAATATTCTCATTGAGTTTGCACTTTACACACTAACGCCTTGTTGGCCTTTGTGTCCTGCAGAGATCTAACCTGTAATCCTGTAGACCCTTTTGGGCTCACTTTTATTTATTTATTTTTTTTTCCCATTTATTTTTATTAGTTGGAGGCTAATTACTTTACATCATTACAGTAGTTTTTGTCATACATTGAAATGAATTAGCCATGGATTTACATGTATTCCCCATCCCGGTCCCCCCTCCCACCTCCCTCTCCACCCGATTGGGCTCACTTTTAAAAGCTTCTTAAATAATGCCTAAATTTGTTTGTTATTGTTCAGTTGCTAAGTCCTATCTGGCTCTTTAGCGATCCCAAGGACAGCAACACTGCTACTCTCCCCTGTCCTTCACTATCTCCTGGAGTTTGCTCAAATTCACATCTTTTGAGTTGGTGATGCTATCTCATCATCTCATCCTCTGCCTCTCCCTTCTCCTTTTGCTTTCAATCTTTCTGGGCATTGGGCTTCCCTGATAGCTCAGTTGGTCAAGAATCCGCCTGCAATGCAGGAGATTCCTTGGTAGGGAAGATGCACTGGAGAAGGGATAGGCTACCCACTTCAGTATTTTTGGGCTTGCCTTGTGGCTCAGCTGGTAAAGAATCTGCCTGCAATGCAGGAGACCTGGGTTCTGTCCCTGGGTTGAGATCCCCTGGGGAAGGGCAAGGCTACCCTTTCCAGTGTTTTGGCCTGGAGAATTCCATGGACTATAAAGTCCATGAGGTCGCAGAGTTAGACAGGACTGAATGACTTTTTCTTCACTTTCCCAGCATATGGGTCTTTTCCAGTGAGTCAGCTTTTTGCCTCAGGTGGCCAAAATATTGGAGTTTCAGCTTCAGCATCAGTCCTTCCAGTGAATATTTAGGGTTGATGTCCTTTAGGATTGACTGGTTTGATCTTGCTGTCCAGGCGACTCTGAAGAGTATTCTCTAACACCACAATTTGAAAGCATCAATTCTTTGGTGCTCAGCCTTCTTTATGGTCCAACTCTCACATCTGTACATGACTGCTGGAAAAACCATAGCTATTTGGACCTTTGTCGGCAAAGTGATGGCTCTGCTTTTTGATACTCTGTCTGGGTTTATCATAGCTTTCCTTCCATGGCACAAGCGTCTTTTAATTTCATGACTGCAGTCACAGTCCACAGTGATTTTGGAGCCCAAGAAAATAGTTTGCCACTGCTTCCACTTTTTCTCTTTGTCATGAAGTGATGGGACCAGATGCCATCATCTTAGTTTTTTGAATGTATACTGTTGGGGTATGAGGTTGAAAGAGGAGAGTGAAAAAGCTGGCTTAAAACTCAACATTCAAAAAATGAAGATCATGGCCTCTCGTCCCATCACTTCATGGCGAATAGATGGGGAAAAAATGGAAACAGTGAGAGACTTTATTTTCTTGGGCTCAAAAATCACTATAGATGGTGACTGCATCCTTGAGATTAAAAGATGCTTGCTCCTTGGAAGAAAAGCTATGATAAACCTAGGCAGTATATTAAAAAGCAGAGACTACTTTTCCAGCAAAGGTCAGTCTAGTCAAAGCTATGGTTTTTCTAGTAGTCATGTATGGATGTGAGAGTTGGGCAATAAAGAAAGCTGAGCACCAAAGAATTGATGCTTTTGAACTGTGGGGTTGGAGAGGGCTCTTGAGAGTACCTTGGACTGCAAGATCCAACCAGTCCATCCTAAAGGAAATCAGTCCTGAATATTCATTGGAAGGACCGATGTGAAACAGAAACAGAAGCTCAGTTACTTTGGCCACCTGATGTGAAGAACTGACTCATTTGAAAAGACCGTGATGCTGGGAAAGACTGAAGGCAGGAGGAGAAGGAGACGACAGAAGATGAGATGGTTGGATGGCATCACTGACTTGATGGAGTTTGAGCAAGCTCTGGGAGTTGGTGATGGATAGGGAAGCCTGGTGTGCTGCAGTGCATGGGGTCGCAAAGAGGCTGAGCAACTGAACTGAACTTTCACCCTTATCAAGAGGCTGTTTAGTTCCTCTTCACTTTCTGCCATTAGAGTGGTATCGTCTGCATATCTGAGGTGATTGTTGTTAGTCCAGCAGTCTTGATTCCAGCTTGTGATTCATCCAGCCTGACATTTGTTTGTAGCTAATGGAAAAGCTGAGTTGTTAACATATGTCCTAGCACAGCATGTCAAGTACATTTCTTGCTGCTACTGATGTAATTGAAAAGCTTAGCAGGAGAGGAGAGCCAGAGAAGTGACAGGGAAGCTACAGGTTACAACAGATTTGTGAAAAGCAAGGTTTTCTTTAGAAAAGTGATCAGATGAATTCATTTTTGTGTGGTTCCACGCTGTACTGTGTACATTTGTCATTTGGTTAAGATTTTATTTTTAATTAATTTTAAAAATCATATAATTCATGAATACTTTTCCTTTAGATTTCTCTATGTTGTTTTAAATTTTATTTAGCAATGTTTTGTAGTTTTTAGTGTAAATGTCTGTTACATATTTTGTTAAATTTATCCCTGTTTTTGTTAGTAATGTAAATATTTTTAAAAAGTTTGTAGTTTGGGGGTTATATTGATCTTGTATTTTATGACTTTGCTAAAGCTACTTAAAAAAAAATAGAAAAAAGAAAAAAATTTAATCAAAAGTTTGTTCTTTGCAAAGATCAATGAAATTGATAGATCTTTAGCCAGGATAACCAAAGGAAGACTGAAATAACCGATGTCAGAATGAAGGAGCTATTACTACTGATGTAAAGCCACATATATTCTCTCATTATTTTTTTTGTTTTGTTTTCTTAAGATTTTCTTTATAATCTGTTATCTGCAAAGACAGCTTTACTTATTCCCTTTCAATCTATTCTTCATATTTCCTTTCCTAAAAAATGCAGTATCTAGGACCTTGTGTAGAATGTAGGAGAGAAGTGGTGAGAAGGGACATCTTTATATCGTTCTAGCTCTTTTGGTTTTCCCATAGATGCCTTTTATCAAATTAAGGAAGTTTTCTTCTATTCTTAGTTGGCTGATTTTTTTTGTTTTTGTTTTTTTCTTTTTTTCCATTTATTTTTATTAGTTGGAGGCTAATTACAACATTGTTTTTGTTTTTTTCAATCATGGTAATCATGAATGTGTTTTGAAATTTGTTGAAATACTTTCTCAGTGTATATTAAGGATGTATGTTTTTGTTCTTCATTGTGTTGATGTGCTAGGTTTTATTGATTGTGAATTTAACTTTACATTGTTGGATCTTAGTTCCTGGACCAGGAATTGAACTCTCACCTTTGACAGTGAAAGCTCAGAGTCCTAACCACTGGACTGCCAGGGAATTCCCTCCATTGCGTTTTTTTTTTTTCCCAATTGATTATTTTAAAAGTTTAATTCTATCTTTTCTGTTGACTTACTAGTTCTGTTCCTCTTCTCTGAATGGTCACACAAAGATAACAGTTGGTGTCTCAGACCCCATTCTCTTTCGTTAAGTCTCACATTAATGAAATTTGCAAAGATGTAAAACAGTGCTGCCATTGTCACTAAATTTTTAAAAATTCTTTTTGAAAATGTTAGCTCTTAAAAAAAAATGTTCTTTGTTGGGAATTTCCTGGTAATCCAGGACTTGGTGCTTTCACTGCTGTGGGTGCAGGTTCAGTCCTTGGTCTGGGAACTAAGATCCCACAAGCCATGTGGTGTGACCAGGAAAAAAAAGTGTTCTTTGTGTGAACATGTAATTGGTTTAACTTTTATTATTTCTGAATGAGTTAATATATATTTTAAAGATTTCTTAGTTTTAACTTATAATATAGTAAATGTTGATAGATGCAATCCAGTTTTTAAGAATACTGTTGATCCTAAGACTAAAAAGTTTGAGAGTCACAGGTCTAG